TGATGCAACTTATTCTGCATCTCCGCTGGTTTATGCCCGGAGGTTGTCCGGGGTTCCCGTGTTCGCGGTCAAAACCAAATAGCGCAGTTTTGGCACGGCGCAGTTTCGCAGCAACTGCACCGGCACGCAGAGATGCAGTTGCTCCCACAGTTGCGCAGAGGGTGCCTTATTTATTGCCTGAGTTTCTGTCGACAATCTGACGGGTCGAGGTACAAGACCCCTTCTTCCGACTTTATCAGAGTTGCCGCGGCCTCGAGTTCCCAGGCGTATTTCGCGGTACGCTCTGCGGTCGGAAGAATGCACATTGCACCTGGGATGTGCATCCTCGGAGACAGGATGACTCGTGTCGCGCGAAAATTGTATCGTTCCTGGCGACGCATACGTAATCGCTCTGCATCTTACGTTATGTGTTTCATGATAGTCACGTCTAAACGTTTTGTGGAATCACACATGCACGCAGAGAATTTACCGGCTACGCGTATGATGTGTTAATAACGTTTCTAAGGACGATCGATTTTCAATTCATAATCGGAGAATAACGACTCAGTTTTAAGAAGATCCAAATTTACGGTCGATTACTCTATAGGTATAGGTAGATTACCGTTATACATGCCGGGATGGAAAACTTGCCGACGTGAGGATGGGCCGATTGCGCCGTGTAATCCCGTCGAAATTAAATCGCTTGATTTATTCGAGTATTTTCTCTTGCGTTGTGGCTCGTATAGCGGTAGACATACTTTACACAACTATGCTGCGCATAGTTCATAAACATCATGCAGCTTTTGTCTTTACCGAATTCCGTCCAACACATTGGATTAATTGCAGTTAATTAATTTTGTTCCGTAAATTGCTCAAGTTGATTTATGTAAACCGATCTCGGAAAGAAAAGTTAAACTGTAGTCATACGGAAGATTAATTTATAGGTAATTTGTAAAACAGTAGAACTTAGAAAATCATATACCGTTCAATAACCAAATTCTTTCCGAAGTACGTAGACATTCCGAAGTTATAATAGACATTTCCAAGATTTTTTCGCGCTGAACACATAATGCCGATGGTAGAATTTGCAAAATGTGTTCAGTGTGAAAAAATTTTTTTAGAAAAAAATCTGCTTCGAAGAGGAAAAAGTAACTTTTATCGAACAATGTTATCCATCTAAAGATCTAAACTTTTAATTATATTTTTTTAAAATTTTCATGAATATGTAGAAAGATGTTTGTGCAAAACTTTTTTATTCTATTCCGAATACACTTATTCAAATCTGCTTTGAAAATAAAATTACTTGTTTCTCTCTAATCACAAAACCGTAATTTATCATTTTGTTATCTTTGCAAGCTAAAACACTAATTTTGATAATACTTAATCTTATTAGCTAACAATGCTTAATTGTAACAGCAAAGATTAAAATAAATACATTTAATTAATTGAAACAAACGATCAATTAATATTATACAATTAATGTATCCGGTCAGTTTTCGGAGCTCGGAAATAATAAACCGTATTATTTTAATATGGAGAGAGAGAGAGAGAGAGAGAGAGAGAGAGAGAGAGAGAGAGAGAGAGAGGCCTGGAACGGCTAAGCCGGGGTCATATCAAAAATGCAATTTGCCGCGACTAGACGTCAATTAGCTTTTCTCGCAGGAAATCTCGTTAACAATCCTCTGCGCTACATGGCCCAATATGATTAATGCGGTCGACTCGTTAAGCAGGCTTGGTTAGTTGGCCATATTCGTACAGTCTATACTCGTTAGTCTCAGTCTTTATCCTTTTGTATCTTAGCCCAAAAACAAATATGTATTAGACTAGTTTCACAGTGTTCGATTTCATCTACACTAACTCAATCGAATTCGCAGTACTTGAAAGAAATATTAAAAAGAAATATCACTAATTAATTTTCACTTAAATATTCTATTTTCTCGACTTTGTATCTACTACTATTTATAATTAAATTTTAAATTAAATTTCTATTAAATTAAAAGCGGACGTGCTCAGTACCATAAATGCTTGCAAAGAAAACCAGCTTAGAAAACTATAACTCAGATGGAATTGTGCATTTTATGTAGAACTGCACTAACGTATTCCATACACCACCTGCTCGAAAAAAACGAGAATGTCTAAATTTAGAGCCAATACGTACTCTTCAATAATAATGTTATGATTAAGGAAAAAGTTCAATCCCTTTATACATTATGCTACCATTTGACATATTTAATGCATGACGGAGTTAACCCATATCGTCTCCTTTCGCGTCATCGCTAAGATTACTATTCCGTATTCTGCGATGGCTATTTGCCAACTCTCAAATCCAACCTGGCCGCAATAATAGAGCACAGCGACGCGATTGACCTCGTGACCCGACACGTGCATCCGCATCGCTCCAGCGACTAAATTCCTTGCGATCAAGCAGTCATAAAAAAATGTCGAAGAAAACGTTCCGAGAGCAAAGGACATTAATAACTCATTAATAACTAAGGAGAAAGCCTGCTATTAATTGGACTAATTATATAGGCCAACGTTTTTCGTAGAAGTAAGAGAATAATACAGCGAACTTGCACTTACGTTGGTTGTTAGTTTAGCCTCAAACGCGCGAGTGATTTTTTGGATAGAAATTACGGTATATTCTTGAGAAATTGGAAGTTTAAATATTTATATCTGCCGGCCAAACAGGTACGTACCACGAACTTTATCGATAAAAGTTAGAATCATGAGCGAAAGATGAGAATCGTGATTTTCGTGGTTGTCTTATCGGCCGGATTTACAGGCGCTCAATTGCGCAAAGATAAATTCATTCAACGCAAGTTCAACGCTGTTTTCGCGAAAATTAAGAAGGTTTTATTTGACTCTTAATCCTTCGTCAACGAAAGTATTTAACGAATTTTTCGCAGTTATGGATATTTTATCAATCGCTGCATGATCAATTGATCATCTTTTTCCATGAAATTGTGTGAGAGATAATATTAAATTTTTAACGATCAAATAAAAATTTTAAGATAAAGATGTATCAGATGTATAACCTTTACAAAAAATGATTAGAATTAAAAATTTATACTTTCCGCATTAAAATGAATGTTATACACGTATTAAAACGAATGTTACATACGTATAAAAATTCAATAAGATCAATTAACAATTTAATTCAGTTCAATAAGATTGATACAGCAATTTTATAGTTTAAATAAAAATTTTCTCATTTTATCTTTACTTTTTTTATAAACATCTATTTTTTATAGGAACAATTTTTGACCCTGTAGATTCTAAATTGTGAAACTTTCTGTATTACTTTCAAATGCAATACAGAAGTATCTATAATTTTTTCATAAATTTCCATCTTTTGTTAAAAAATACGTGTAATACTTCCTTAATGAGAAAAAAATCCACAACACAATATATTAGGCACGTCCAAGTATGGCCCTCTTCACTTATTTGCCAATATTTCACAATTCATTTTCACTTAATATTTAGAAATTAATCATAAAAATTGTTATCTTGAATATCGAACTTAATATACATATGTAGGTACTTATAACTCTCGGATGGTCCATTTTTAGAATTAGCCTACATTAGAGCAAAGTGATCCGCGATGAATTCCTTCTATCTAATTTTGCAGACTCAAATCGAGTTGAGACCAACGTTAAAAGAACTTCAAGAATAAGATCAACGTCCTGCTTATTCTCAGTGCAAAGAGCATCCATAAAAGTCGGTTGCGGCCGGCTCCTAGGAGTGAAAAAAATCTCGTTTGCGCGACTTAAAACGCGACGGTGCACGGCGCAAAATGAGTTGCAGTGCTGAAAGTGCACTGTCAAGATAAATGAATCGTAAAAAAAGATGTTTACCGCGACAGCGCATACCGCGTTCGTTTATTATTCGTCGCCCCCGAAGAGCCGCGTATAAGGTCGCGAAATAAAGATAAATGTAAATTGAAAAAATGCGGAGCTCTTCTTCAAACTAAAGTACGTTATTTTTCTACCTTCTCCCTTCTCTTTAATTTTCGTCGTTGCGTAATATCACGTTGAATATTGCAAGAGATATTGCACAAGCAAACATATCAAATGTATCATCTATTATTTATTTCAGAGACGGAGAGATTTTTCAACATTGCTGCTTAAATAAAAATTTTATGTAATGTCACGAAAGCAAAGTTTAAATACTTAAAAATATTTATCGTACTTTATATGAATAGTAAAAAAGGCATCATTAGTAGTTAAATATGAAATACCATAAAAATGAGATGTTTTCTAATGAATTAAATATTTAAATAACCGTACTAGCTTAATGTGTCAAAATACTGCAGACAATATCGCGTGAAGTAAAAAATAAATAAATATTACTCTCCCACCCTTATCACTTGCACAGTGAATCTTTCTTGAATTTATTGTGTGTGTGTGTTAAGAAGTTATATTTCTACAGCGCTAATATATCCATGTCAGGAAGTCTGTTTGCTGCATAATATGAAAATTGTGGCACGCAATAATAGGAATAATTTGAGAATATTTCCATTTATAAAACGCCTTTAATAAAGGTATATTTATAGCTTAACCATAATGCAGTTTTCCTGTAATATATGATGTAACGTTTTTAATTAGATAATGCACAGTAATACTGTTCTTTTTTCTATTTCTTATTTTTCATCTACATTATGCGTTAATTTAATTATTAATTTGCTAAACTGCAATGTATAATCATAAAAGTCAAAAATCTTTTTTCCATACAATAAATTTTTTAAATCATGCGTAGCAAATATAACTGAAATAGAAATATAATTAAAATGGAATATTTTTCTATTCAATGCTCAATGTAAACATTTTTTACTTATACTGTACAGTTGCCAATTCAAAGTTATAATTTTATTATTCATAATCCCCCTTAAGAATTTCATTAGGAAAAAGCTTTCTGTATCATTTTTCAAATGTTTTTATTAGTATCTTTTAATATCTAACAAAAGTATTAAATTATATCATTTGTTATAACATTATGGTCTAATACCTGTTACAGAGTTTACGCAATATGGCGAATACAACAGATGCCTGTGAAACTCGCGATCCGTGTCAGCACGGTGGCATTTGCATTTCTACAGACAGTGGACCGATCTGTGAGTGTCGCACCGGCGATTATGAAGGCGCATATTGTGAGAAAGGTTAGTAAATCTAAACTTTTAATAATCTGAATTTTGTAACTAATTTAATAAAAAAATTGCTTTGTATTACCAATTAATTATATTTTGTTAAATATTTATATTATATTTTGCTGAAAGGACTTTGATGTTATGTTTGAACTTTTTCAATTTTTTAAAATATGATATTAATATATATAGAGTAACACACACAAAAAAGTTTGTGTGACACAGTTTTGTACGTTTGTCAAATTATTACACAGCTGATGTTATTTGTCGTTTTTTATGTCAAAATACTATAGTAACGTATATTTAAAAACAAATTCTGAAGTGTTAATATTACATCATTACCAAAAAGACTGCATCAAGAAATTTTCATTTGGTAAACTCAAGATCTTTATTTGGCTGGGAGAATTTATGACGGCTATTTTAATTATTACGTTTTTCGCATTTTTAATAAGATATCACTAATATATAATAGAATACCAGTTTGTTTTTTTGCAAATATACATTAATGATTCGATAAACACAAAACTTTATGGCCAAACATTCTGTAAATTGCCATGTTTCTATTTACGATTAACTTACATTTAAATATAATTAATTTAAAAATACTATGACATTAAGAGTAAATATGGATTAAATTATCTATTATCTTTTCTTACTCGTTTGCGAGTCAAACTTTTTATGATTAAAGAAGCAAACTTAAAAATGTTTGAACAAGGAAAAAAGAAATGAATTTTTCTTATGCCGTTCTAAGGATAATGAGAATAAAACAAAATCGCTAATAAAAATATGAAACAGAAACAAGAACATTTTCACGATTTGTATGTGTGCATTGCGTATATTTAACTGAATAGAGATATACAATCCGCATTCGTTCCAAGCTATTTAATACGTGTACACAGTTTTAACCAAAGATATATACTTACAAAACCTAATAAATAAATCGTGATGAATTGAACAAGCAACTATTTATAGATTAAAAGATTTAGAATATTATTCAAGACGCTTTATTAGTAAAATAAATTTAAAATACACACCTTCGTAATTATAATTTATAAACAATGAGAGTTTAATTATTTCTAACAATTTTAAATTGTCGGAATGCACTACAATTTATTAAAGATGCTTCACATTTTTCGCCAAGACTGCAATTTTATTTTATCTTTGATATTTATCCATACAAATTGATTTTGTGTGATTTTGATATTACTTTCAAGCAATTTGCATTTCATTAATTTATAACCTATCCGTAACACTTTTTCAACTTTTGTCCTTCGATTTTTTTTGTGACCGATAATTTATTAATAGATCGCGTTCCATTCAATTAAATATCAATCGCTCACTCAAGGTTCGAAAAACGGAGGATGTTTTCAAATATTTATCATTTCTCTACATTTGACATTCTCGTAGTTTTACAGTCACATAGTAAACGTATCACGCGGTTGCTTTGGGTGTTGCCGTTTTTAACCTCTTTCTCATATTCCGCTCGATCGATCGTTACCTTTAATGATAAAACGCCTGAACGCAACTATACGTTGGGTGTGCATTTCTCGTTAACTTCTACGCGTATATTCGCGAGGGAACGCGCGTCGCCTAATGAGGCGTAATTGTCGACAGCTGCAGAAGCGAGATGGTGTTCCAGAATGATTTTTCCTTCTCGTAAGCCATTGGCAATTAGAGAAACCGAGCAAAGTCGGGGTCGTTTCAAGACGTTTCACCGATAATTACAATCAGACTTCTTCCCCGTTAATGAGGTGCGCGCACAAGGAGTCGTTATATATAGCGGAGGAGATTTGAATCGCGAATGTGAGCGGCGAAATAGGTACGCAAAAATTAATGCATTTGTTCTTGTCATTCGATATGAAAGCTAAAAGAAAGCTCAATCATTATAAAAGAAGAATTTGGGATCGATATTCATTACGGATTTTTAAGCGTTCGCACTGTAGAAACGTATTAAAATTCGGATCGAAATTTGAATCGGAAGGATTCATTTCGGGCTAGATTCTCATAATATTTTTGCAATGAATTATAATTCTGTGTTTTATATTACAACAAATATTAATTTTAATCTGTGTTATAAATATTATAACTGACTTCTCAAACCTTTCCATACTTTCTAATATTATCAAACATTATTTACAATAAAAAAAGAAATGTACTGTTATTGTAATTTACAAAATGCGTCCTCGGGATTTTTCTTCTTACAAAATTCAGAAAACTGTGCACTCGATAGATTTAATAGCGAAAAGCGAGATTACATTTTCCGTAGATATGTTAAGTAACATACCGCGCGGATCTACTTTATTTACTTTGAATAGGTATAAGTGAGTGGGGTATCTGAGCACCCCAGGCATAGTTTTTCTTAAATATTTCATATTTTTAGATTGATAACAGAACTCATGGATTTAGTATCTTTCTATTAATAATTACTTGACAGATTAAAATGGTAGTGGCTCATAGATACTGAAATAGTAAACAATAATAGAGCGTTAAACATACCGGGAGTGCTTTGAACAGGCTTCATCTACCCACTTGTGTTTTCTTTTTATACTTTATCTTTTTTTGAGTTTTTATATAGTCAGGGGTTTTTCTCTGTTGTAGTCCAGGGTTGTCTTGTTTATATTACTTTTCTTGTCTTAGTTACATTATTATTACATGTCTATATTTTATTAGAATATAATTAATGTAAATTTAAATATAAAATGTAAATAATCTTATTTTTCTTTTATTTTTGTTATATTTCAATTCTATAAAACAAAATTTAATTTTGCTTTTTTAATGCAAACATTGACTGTTTTACATATTTTTACATATTAAAATATTCATTTCTTGTAAAAAAAATTAACAATTTTTGTATCTTTTATTTCGTTATTTATCCTATCTTAAACTCAATATTTTTTAATAACAATTTTGTACGATTTATGTTTTGAGGTATTATTTAGTATTAGAATATTTGTATTTTAGGTTTGAGTTACGTTTTTTAATAATAAATGGTGTTAGGAAATAAAATGGGAAAATCGATAACTAAAAACACCGTTGTGTTAAAAAAAAATTAAAAAGTCCGGAAGTGTTAAAGTTCATTATTTTTATATTTCTCTATCTCATTAAAGTCTAACTAAAGTAAATTTAACTAAAATACAATATTTTAGTAAAAAATATAATTAGAAAAATAAAAACTTTTTGTGTGTAGGGTATTTTAGCACCCCACCTACCTTATACTTGTGTTTCAAAAACCCACTTACCTACTCAAAGGTTAATTGCGATTTACTTTCTGCGATAAAATTTTGTACTTTCTCGAGTTTTCGTGGTTCACAAAACGGTATTTTCAACTATGCAGTGGTAATTTTACTACAAGCAGATTTTCCATTATACTGCGCGTGACAGATGTAGGGTATGATATACGGTTTTAAGATATGTATATTTATGATGTAAGTTACTGTAAATCGTGTTAGCGGTAAATTCATGTGGTCTCGCATAACAAATAAATATGCAAATTATCGTTCATAAAAAAAAATTAATTAATTATATATTCTAACTTTATCAGATATTATTATTCTTTCTAATAATAAAAGAAAGTCTAAAAGTACATTATAAAACTGTTCTTAAATAATATTCAAATTATTCGATTTCTTCCTTGCATTACTCTTGATGCAATAAGTAAACATACTAAATAAAAATTAGTTATGCAGTTCACGATACTGAGTGGAGAGTTTACTAGAAAAAGAGTCACTTCATACCGCGAATAAACAATCTTCCTTTATCAAAAATTGCAGCGTGGAATGTTTATTCAAAGCTTTACTTCACTGATAATTGCGAATCTTTGCGAACTCACGGCCCGAGTCTTTTGTCGCTACTGAGACATCGTCCAGAAGAACGCGAAACTTCAAAGACGACTCTTCGCAAAAGGAACCAGGACAATTTCATTTTAATTCTTCTCTTAACAGCTTTTTGCAGGCGCGATTGTCCTTGTCGTGTCTGACAGGCACAGTCGTTATACGCGATATAATGTAATTTCCAGCCTTAATGACCATGTTGAAACGAATAGAGGAAAAAGGAAGAAGGAAATGGGAGGGGTGCAGAAAGGGATGAGAGTGTTACAGACGCGCAAGATAAAATAGCGAAGCTAGAAATGAGGGTTGGAGCACAAAGAAAAAGGAAGTTCAGAATTTATTAGGGTAAAAATAATCAGTCTACCGGGATTTCTTAACAAATATCGCAGAAAATTGAATACTACCACTACTGAGAAAAAGGAAAGAATATATGTGTATATAAGAAAGGAGAAGAAAAGAGATTCGATGGTTGATACATTGCACTGTATTGCATAGCAAGCCTATAATTAATATTTCTTAAAATAAGTCGTAATACTGAATAGTATTTGAAATTATGACTGTTTAAATTTTCCTTAGAAAATAAAAATATAAAATGAAAACTCAAGAGACTAATCCTTGAGTGAATATACGAGTAAAATAAAGTACGATAAACCCCACTCGTTTCGCATTATCTATTTCAAACTGGATAATCAAGAGTTTATGTTCATGGCAAATCGTTATCTGGACAAAGTGATTCAACTTTACACGGCATTTCGCACGAAGAAACTTCGTTGTTTAACACTCGATATTCGCGCAGCGTGGAGCTACCGCTAGGAAGGCAATTTTATAACAATTGCAATCGTGTGAAAGTTTTTCAGCGTTTAAATTACCGAGCGGTGCTCCTCCCATTGGTTTCTTTCCTTTTTTTTTAAAAAATGCATAAGGATCTTTTCGCGAACGATCAACGCATGGTTCAGTTCTTTACTTTCGTTCTTTCTTTCTTTCTGTTCTCACATAGAGGCATGGAGCACGGTGCTGCCCACGGCGGGTGCTGGCGATTACTGGGCTTGGGATTACAGTGAGTCTCGCTAATTACAAAACCAAAGCATCCACAATAACGTGGTGCAGTGGTGGTAGAGATATGAGTACGAGTAATCAGTAGATCGTAGCTCTAGTTAAAATAAATGTTTCTATATATAGACCCCTTGG